GTCCCTGTTGACACTGGAGCTACAAAGTCAGTTTTAATGATGAAAGTCTCTTATGAACTGTGCCTGTTAGAGGAGATCACGAAAGGCCCCGGGCTGGCTTTCTAACAACCACTGGACAATGCCCACCTGAAGCCCAGCTTCTGTCTGTACTGAGTGTTCCATTACTAGGGAAAGATTTGCTACGTACTGTTCTTCCCTGAGAAAAGCATATGCAGGTACAAGTTCCACCTGAGCAGACCGTTCATCTGCCGCTATGAACCCTGAAACCACCAAATTGTCAACTCACATGTATGGGCCAGGGGACTCCAGGAAGAACTAAAACACTGTGCCTGTTTGTATTTTAAAACAAAGTACATCAATTCTCCCTTAAGCAAAGCAATACTTTTGGAGGTTGGAGGCACTTGAGCAAATCCAAATCATGCTTCACACTTTTCTAGAAAGCAATTTGATTCGGCCATGCCTGTCTCCTTAAGAATGTTCCTAGTCTGCCAGTTTTTTTTTTTAAGTCCCAGATCTAAGGAATATAATTTTGTTCAATACCTACAAGCTATTAGTAAAATTGCCCATGACAATCTCCCCTACAAAGCCAAACCCTTGCACTTTTTTAAATAAACTGCACAGTGAAAATGTTTCACTGTCCTTAATACAAAAAGCTTTTGCATTCCTCCTGATGGGCAGTCACAGCTACTTTTTGGCTTCAAGTGGACAGACCCTAAAATCAGAAAGCACTTTTAACACTTTGGGTGTGTTCCTACATGTATTCAAAAACTCCCTGTGGTCTTTGGAGAGAGATTGGCTGCACACTTGAAAATGTTTCAGTTAAATCAGGGACCCTGATGCAGTAAGGTAGATGACAATGATTTCCAGTCTGACTTACAAGCTTTGCCTAGGAAACACCAATCAATCCATTAGTTACTTCATTGACTGCATGGGTAAGATGCTGGATTAATGACCTTTCTCCTTGCTGTAGCAAAATGCCTGACAAAATGAACTTAAGGAACAAAGGATTTATGGTACAGCCCCTCGAGGTGGGGAGAGCAGGGCAACAAGTACATGAGGCAGCTGGTCACATCACACCCACAGTCAGGAAGCAGAGAGAGGAAGGCTGCTGGTGGGTCACTTCCCCATTTCTGTTCAGTCTGAGATCCCAGTCCGCGGTATGGTGCCACCTCAGTCAAAATAGGCTTTCCCTCCTCCGTCAAAATGGTCTAGAAAGTCCCTCACAAGCATATCCAGAGGTTTGTCTCTAGGGCCAATTTAGATCCCATGAAGTTGACAGCCAGCACTATCATGGTGGCCTGTTCTAAATTGCAAATCTACAAAGAACAATTTTTTTTTCCCTAGGCTTCCAATTCCAGTGCCTAGTGGCTGACTAGAAAATGGCTATTGCCAGCATCCAGATTCTAGGGCCTATAAAGAATTGTGAGGGTTCCTGGGGATGGCACATGACTACAGCATAAAGGGGTGCTTAGGGGGCTTACAGCAAAGACTTGACATGGGGCTTTGGTTGAGGCTGATCTTGTGCCCTTAATTTTATGTACAGGATGTCAAGCTGTACTGAGAACTCTGAAAGGACCTTCTGACACCCACCTCATTCGTGAACTGCTTAAGTTAACAAAACCTTCAATGTGGTGATGAGGAATCAGGCTGGGGGTTCTTGTCAGCTGCTGTTTGAAGTTTCACATCCTTTAAATAAAATAACTCATAATAAAAAGATCAAAACAAAGTATAAGACCAAAAACATTCCTGCCTTTCCAGTAATACTATTTACCATACATTTCTTTTAAAAATCACAAGTTTCTGCCTGTTTCCTTCTATAAACGAAAAGGGGGCTTGAAAATGAAAGAAAACTTTCCAAGGTTCAAAGTAACAAAACAAAGTTAAGCATGTGAGCGCTAGGTTATCACATACTGAACATCCTTCTGCCTTCACACACAGCATCAGTGAGGAGTGTGGGCTATTAGCCAAATACATTCTAGTCTCACTTTTGATCAGTACATCAACCTAGTCCTCGGAAAATGAAGACAACGATTTTGCATCTTTAATACAATTCTTTTTTTATAATTTATCTTATTTGTGTGTGTTTGTCTGAGGGTATGCTCACCCAGGTATTCAACAAGCCCTGTAGAGGGCATCGAATCTCTCAGGGACAGCTACAGGCATTTGCAGGATGCGTGGCTTGTTATGCAAGTACTGGAATTTAACTCTGGTCCTCATGACTGAGCAACAAGAACTCTCTTAACTGCTAAGCCATCTCTCCAGCCCTCATATGATTCTTATAGGGATTAGATGGGTTTGTGAACACAAATGGACTCAGCAAGAATTGGCTGCAATCTATGTTGCATCCATAAGTAACCATTATGGGCAGGACCCTTCCATCTCATGCATCTGTTTTCTTTTAGAGCTCTGTTTTGTTTAGTACCTAGAAGAATTACAGGGTTTTTTTTTTCATTCTTACTCATTTTTATCAAATTTAAGTTCTGAATTCCAGGGTTTTCCTGAATTCTATTCTTTACTACTTGTTTACATAAATTAGCATACAGATAAAAGGTTTTAAAGTAGAGAAACACAAAAATACATACATTATTTCCAATATCGGTTCTAAATCTACTTGGTTTTCTATAAACTTTTGGAGACAAAAAAAAAATCCTGCTGAAACTCATATACTTGAAGAATTCTCACATCATCCAAAGTCTTTTCTTTCTTTCTTTCTTTCTTTCTTTCTTTCTTTCTTTCTTTCTTTTTTTTGAAAACAGCATTTATTGCCAAATTACATTTTCTGGATCTCCGTGTCCTATTTCCAGTTACTAGTAATTTTTTTTATTAAGAAAATTTTTTCATTCATGTTACAGACCAAGCAAAGATCCCCCTCTTCCCTCCTCCTTCCCCCCTAGCCTCTTCCCACAACCCACCGTCCACTCCCCCCAAAAGAAGGCAAGGCCTCCTCAGCAGAGAAAAACAATGACATCATGAAATTTGTAGGCAAATGGATGGAACTAGAAAATATCCCGAGTGAGGTAACCCAGACTCAGAGGGACAAACATAGTGGATACTAGAAGTAAAGCAAAGGATAACCAGACTGCAACTCACAACTCCAGAGAAGCTAGCTAACAAGGAAGATCCAAAGAGGGACGCATGGATCACCCTGGGAAGGGGAAATAGATGAGGTTTTTCTTTAAAATAAAGGTATATTAAGATTTCCTAGGGACTCAAGATGTAGCTCCACTAGTAGAGTGCTTACCTAACATGAACAAAGGCCTGGGTTCGATCCCCAGCATGACATAAACAGCAGGAAGACATATGACTGTTACCCCAGGACTGGGAGAAGGAGAAGAGACAGAACCTCAGTTACTCGGCAAGTGTGAGTTACCCTGGGGTACAGGAGACCACATTTGATTTAAGGGGGGAACAAAAAAAGATTTTCTAGATTCAATTTAAGAAATAAAACAATCAAATATAATCCTTGGTTTCTGACCAAAATGAAAATGAAATCTAATTTTCTAATTCCAAACAGCGATCATCTGTTCTAATTATAAATATTGGGAAACAGGAATCAGGGCCAAGTTTGGCATTTTCTGTGAAATTACTTTCATTATAAAATCTAAAAGAAATGCATTCCCTTGGTGGGAGGGTAAAATTTTGGCAGAGACACCGGAACGATTTGGCAGAATCAAGAGCTGTCAATTCTGCTGCAGTCCAGTGTTCCCCCTGCCTTCGCCAGTGATGTGCAGATTTCTGTCATTTCTATCAGCCTGGCTTTCTCATTTGAACAATGGCGCTTCCAACGTGCAAACAGCACTGGTGGGCTAAGATGGATAGGATGCCTCTTCGCCCTCTGGTGGATCAGACAGAACCATCACACTCCACATGAACAGTGTATTCAATACTTCAGACAGTAGCAGATGAATTAAACCACTGCTCGTCAACTGAATGTGTGTGAGGCTAGTCTTGGTTATCAATTGGACTACATCTGGAATTAGCTAAAATTCTGGCTGGGCACACCTGTGAGGGATTTTTTTTTTCTTAATTAAATCATTTGAAGCAGGAAGGCATACTTCTAATCCAGATCTTTGAGGTGGGGAGGTCCACTTTTTATCTGAGTCACCCCTTCTGCTGGCACCTATATAAAGGACAGGGAAGAAGGAAGCTTGCTTTCTCTTTGCCTGCTTGCTCTCCCTGTCCCTAACAAGTCCATTCCTTCACTGGCATCAGAGCTGACTTCTTTAGAATTACAGCATATACTGAAGACGAACTGTGACATCTAACCCAGTGGACTGAACTACTGAATTCATGGCCCTTCCGGGGTAGATAGCCATTGCTGGACTAGCTGGACTACAGCCCGTAAGCCATTCTAATACAAAGTACTTAAGAGCACTTGCTGCTCTTGCAGAGGACCTGAGTTTGGTTCCCAGCATCCTGTTCAGGAAGTTCACAGCTGCCTGTAACTCTAGCCCTAGAGAATCTGAGGCTCCCTTCTGGGTTTTGCACTCATAGACACAGACCCACCTAAAAATGCACACATACACATAATTAAAAATAAAATCTTACAAAAGAAAGGCATGTTGTATTTTAGTTTTATTTGTAGGATATGCTCTGAAATTATTGCTAATAAAAATCAAGATTTTTCAAAACTCATCATTTTCAAAACTCATTATTATATAAAACAAGAGTCCATGGGGCAGACTTGTGGAGCCATTAGGAATTCTGGCACTTTCACATAATTATTCACAATAAATTACAACAATAAATCCATGCACGATAATAAACAATGGTATTTAATTCAAATTTTCTAGAGGTTTAAACATGATTAACTAGTAGGATAATAGCACCACCTAGTGGCCACATAAAATTGATGTTTCATTCCATCACGTTTTCAGTATCAGTTCCTCTCACTGCTCTACACTGGGATGGGCTAGTAGAGCAAATGTCTCACCCCATGAAGCATCTATGATGTATATTGTGACAACCAAAGAAAAGCAGCAGAATTTAATAAGTGACCATTAAACTTCCAAAGTGATTTTAATATACCTGATATAAAAAGCATGAAGTAGTTTACAGATGTCAGATAACAAACATTCCAAAAATGTCATTCATTTAATATGCTATATCAACGGTTACCTAAATAATTTTTGCACACATGAATGTAGCCAAAAAGAAAAGAAGAGTGAAAGAGAAAGCCTCGTAAGTCATTTGGAAATGGCAGAGAAGAAAAAAGCCACGTTTTTGAGACATTAAGTATTTAATTGCACATGTGTATAGCATCCTATCTCACTGATATGTAAGGAAAGTCCTACAAGCGAGTTCATTCTTAAAGTGACACAGTTAATTTTTAATAAGAACACCTGAGCAGTTCCAGTTATTCTGGAGAGACCATAAAAGACACAGTAAGCCGCTTGTTGATGTCGTAGTAAACATGCTGGGTGTTTCCTGATGCCAAATGCTTACACAGGTACTCCAAGTCCCAAATTTTCTGACACATTGTCACCTCCAGTTCTGTTGATGCTACTGTCTCATTCATCCCTTAAATTCCATAAGAAATCGATATAGCTCTTCCCATGCAGGAATCCGCCCTGTCTCTCCTCCCTTAGTCAACCCCTGTGAGCTGCACTCTTGAACCTAAGCAGCTGAACATGCTCTGGAGAAAATACACAATCAGGCTAGGTTTGAATTCAAATTCATTCCAAGAATTCCAATAAACTCCCACTGAATCCAAGAATTCGGCTACATTTCTAAGTCCAGTGACATTATCCTCTAATTATATTCTGTCCTTTCCCTCCAAATTTCCAAGTCTCCCTTGTCCTAACTAGAAGTTGATGGCATTCCTTTGCATTGCCCTGAAAACAAAAACAAAAACAAGAACAAAAAACTTCAAACCGATAGAAGAATACAGTCAAAAGTTTACACCATTACTTCCAATAGCCAGCCACCATCCATTCCCACCTGTGTTTCTGTAGAGTCCTTAGCTGTTACCTCAGGCCAGTGGTTCTCAGCTTTCCTAATGTTACACCCCTTTAATACAGTTCATGGTGTGGTGACCCCAACCATAAAATTATTTTGTTGCTACTTCATCACTGTAATTTTGCTACTGTTATGAACCACAAATGATGTAATACCTGATAAGCAACCCCAGGGGCCGTGACCCACAGGTTGAGAACCACTGCCTTAGACAGCTCTGGCCTTTGTGCACTAGCTCCAGTTCACCTATGCTCTCCACCAGCATTATCTGTTTCCATCCCACCATATGCCGACTTAGAACGCCTTCATTTCTCTCCTATTCCATGCTCTTCCTCTCACTGCTTAACTTCTCAGAATTTTCCAAATTATTCTCCCTCCATTCTCCCTGCAACTCTTATTTAAAAGACCCCCAAATAGCCTGTGTATTGCTCACTCCAGGGCTCACTTTTCAGCCATCACTTTGCCTGTATTACTAACAGGACAGCTTCCTTCTTTGAAAACTTAGATTTTTCAGGATCTCGTGACCCGACCCTCTTTAAGTCTCTGTAATTTTTTTTTTTTTTTTCTGGTAGATTGAGAGGAATGCTTAGTCCCTCCTCCCTCTTTCTATTTATATTATCTGATTGGTTTCTTCAGCCCAGACCTCTCCCAGAATGTCGTACACATTTCAACTCCTTTCTTGTTAGGAAAATGGTGCAGCATTTTCCATAACAGTTGCACCAAGTGAACGTCCCAGACCCACGGGGTACCTAAGGTTTCCTTCCTCTCCAGCTCTCCAGATTGGCTATTGCTTTCTCTTTTTATAACAGTCATCCTAACTGGCTTTCAGTTGAATTTCTCTGATAGTTGATGACACTGAGCACTTTCCCATGCACTTGTTACTTTGTGTTAAAGGAATGTCTGTTTAAGCTAGGGTTTGTCTGCAGAACAAATATTTGCTGGAGTCTAGTAAATATTTAACAAACAAGGCTTTTTTGAACTGAAAATACACACACACACACACACACACACACACACAGACTGGGAAGAACTATCACATTACATTAAAGCAAAAACAGTCTTCTTTGCAGTAGGATCACATTGTGAAATCACAAATGACTGAATGCTTAGGTGCATTCCTATGAAGGAACACTACTGAAATTAAGTAAAACAAAAATTAAATAAAATAAAATTAAGTAAGAATTGAAATTAGGTAAAAATGAAAAAACAAGCTTCAGGCTGTTTTCTGACTATGGTTTCTCCTATGGAAGTCAGTCTTCATTTAAGAGGGGGATAAATGAATACTAATTATGGTTTTCTGATTATTACTAGTTCCCTCACTAAAATCAAAATGGGAACGAGGCTTATAGAAGGAGCTCAGCTGAAGAATGAGTATTCTACAATGAAACGTTCAGTTCATTCAAATGCAGAAGGGAAATATGCCCAGTAAGTTCGCTTCTCCCCGTTTCATTTTATCCTTGGTAAATGAAATTAACTTTCATTACAAGTAATTTCCAATTCTTCTACTTCCACATTCTCTCAAGTGTATTCTAAGACTCAAGACCTTGGCGTGGTAGCGATGGAATTCACTGAATTTAAACTCAAATCTCCACTGATTAGAAATGTTATCTCTGTCTCAAATCCATAGTAAAGATGGACCATCACTAACGTAGCACTTGTCTTAAAAGAGATATGATCGACTATAAAAGCATTTCTAAAGTTTTAGACTTACAGAAAATTTGCAAAAAGTGGCACAGTGTTGATTTTATCTAATTATCTAAAAGAATTAGATAAGCACAGTTTTGTCTTGTTCCCCCACTCCCCATGGTCAGAATACAGTGTAGACTTTGAGGAACAAGACCTGAGAGTGATAGACTTTTTTTTTACCCTACTATATCAGAATGCACTCTATCATCATGACTTATCGCTCATACATTTGTATTACCCAGAATGGGCAATGTCTATTACTTCCCTGCACCATTATTGTATACCTTCTCCTCTGTGCTGTTTATTTTTGTCAACTTGACACAAGCTAGGGCATCTGAGAAGGGGGAACCTGGTTTGAGATAATGCCTCCAAGGTATTGGCCAGTGGGCTTGTCTGTGAGGCATTTTCTTGATTAATGATTGATGTGGAGGGTCCATTCCAGTGTGGGCAATGCCACTCCTGGGCAGGTTAGTCCTCTGGTTGTATAAGAAAACAAGCTGAGTAAGCCAAGAAGAGCAAGTCCGTAAGCAGCATTCCTCCATGGTTTCTGCTTCAGTTCCTGTCTTCAGGTTCCTGCCTGGAGTGCCTGCCTTGGCTTTAATGATAGACTATAACCTGGAAGCCAAATAAACCCTTTCCTCTCCAAGCTGCATTTGGTCATGGTGTTTTATTACAGCACAAAAACCAAACTAGGATCTCCCCTTTCTTTACCCTACACCTTGAAATCAAGTCATAAAATCCATGATGAAATTGGTGCTACAATTAGGGAGAAAAATGACTTTTGTTATTGTTTTTTTAATTTTATTTTTCCCTGTAGTGCTGGAGATTGTACACATGGCCTTGTGCATACTGGACAAACACTCCACCTCTCAGTTATATTTCCAGCCCCCGCCCCCAAATAATGTTTTAAACTAAATAATAATAATAAATGTTTTTGAGCTAGGGTCTCATGTACCCTCGACTGTCCATAAACTTACTAGGTAGCCAAGGAAGACCCTGACCTTCTGAAAGTCCCTAGCGCTAGGGTTATAGATATGTGCCACCATGCCCAATACATGCCTTGCTGGGGACTGACCCCAGGGTTTTGTGCTGATAGGTAAGCACTCACAAATGAAGTGCCATCCCAAGCTCTAGTAACAAATCCAAATCTTTTTCAGTGTCACAAATAGATATGGTACACTTCAAAGCATTGGGCCATGGTCTCAAGTGCTCACTTAAATCAAGTCTTTCAGCCAGGTACTTCGATTAAGGTCTTCACAGGAATTTATAATAAAGATGCCATGCCGGGTGGTGGTGGCGCACGCCTTTAATCCCAGCACTCACTCGGGAGGCAGAGCCAGGCAGATCTCTGTGAGTTCAAGGCCAGCCTGGTCTACAGGGCGAGATCCAGGACAGGCATCAAAACTACAAAGAAACCCTGTCTCAAAAAAACAACAAAAAAAAAACAGATGCCAAAAGAAAATGCAAATATTACTACATGTCGAAAATCAAATGCAGTTTTAGGGATGAACATTTTCATAACAATACTATGGTCAATATACTTGACCAAACAATGAAATCGGAAAAGAATTTCGACAGGTAAGAGATGTGGGTGCGGGGAGGGTAACAAGTCAAGAAAAGACCAAGAACAAAGCAAGGGAGAGGCCAAAGGCAGGTTTTAAAAGCCCCGTTTCCGACAAAACAAAGGAACATTCTAGTATGTAAACTCTCATTTATCTCTTCCTCGCTATCTAACAAAACGGAAATGTTAATTTTATTTAACATCTTCAGTAAGACGTCTTAGCATAAACATACGGTTCTATAACAAATTGTGCTCCCAAAACTTACGTTGCAACCTTAATCCCTACTCTCTGTAAGTTGCTGTATTAATAATGGGGTTTCTAAAGTAGGACTTAATCAAACCTGGCAGGTGCTGACAGGCACAGAGGAAAAACCCACGGGAAGACGCAGACTACCATCTACAGGCCAGCCCCTTCATCTCAGACTTCCCAGCTCCGGGACTAACACAGACTCTCAATTTACACCAGAGTTTAATGAAGTGTGTTTGGGCAGAGTCCTCGACCGTGCTTAGGTATTTAAGCCTCGTTTAGTTCTTTCGGATCATTAATGACGTGTGGAGTAAAGTGAGAGACTCTGTGAACTCGGTGAGTTTTATGAACACCTCCAGGTCCTTCAAATGCAAACGTTCCAAGTTTGTTCACTGGGACTCCAGGACAGAATTGCTCTAAATAACTCCATCCCTCCAGGCATGGAGTGAGTGACCTCCTGAAGCTTTTGCGGCTCTCCCTTACAGCTTTGTAACGTTCTCCATGACAGCAACTGCCGCCTCAAATGGTCCATCACTACAGGTTTCCCCGGGACCCTCTACTCTGTCTCAAACCGGAATAAAGGCGGTGACGAGGCTGGTATGGCTAGACGGGCATTGCTCTAAGGGAAATCTCTTCCTCGCCTTGGCCAAAGCGACTCCACTGACTGCACCCGGGAGGGGAGAGCCGCATCCCTCCCTCCAGAAAAGACGGTTGGAGGAGGGTCTGCGCGTCACCGATGCTCGCGCTGCCCACGACTTCCGGTCCTCTGTGTCCGAGAAACCTCCTGTGCGCGGTGTCGCGGGGAAAATCCTCACGAGATCAGACCAAAAGGGCCAGCGGAGGGGCGCCAGAGCCAGCGGAAACGGCAGCCTCGGGCAAGGCAAAGGCGACGCTGCCACAGCTCCCGGGGGGCCGGCCAGGAGCTGCGCCACCGGAGGTGACGTTCCGGAGGCCGCAGGGCCCGGAAGCTGGACCTGGTAAAGAACGCAGCCAGGAGGCACAAATCTCTGCGCTCCAACGAGACTTCAGACAGCGCGAGAATTTGGGGTTGGGATTTGTGTTCCTCCTTCCACCGACCCACCTCGCTACCCGCCCCGCGAATCCCGGACGCCGAAGCCAATCAAAGTGACTGGGCACGGAAGAGGTCGGGAAAGGGCACCTAGGCCACGCCCCTCGCGCGGAGGCTCTCGGGAAAGCGTCACCGGGACTATAAAAGCGCGCACGCAGCACGTTGAAGTCCCTTTCGCTCCGTCTGGGTCGCTTTGCTGCGTGTCGTGTGTAATCCCCACGCTGAAGGGACCGTTAGGCCCGCATTTGTGAGCGGCCAAGATGCGGGAGACACGGGGCCGTTGCGACGCAGGCCGCTGGCCGTCCGCACCGCAGGAGCGTGGTGAGGGCGAGCACAGGCTATGGCCGCCGCTGGTCATTAGCACCGCAGGAGTATGGTGAGGGCTAGCACAGGCTACGCCTCTGGTCATTAGCACCGCAGGAGCGTGGTGAGGGCTAGGACGCAGGCCACGGCCATGTGAAGCCGATCCCGGGGTTAGGCGGCGCCACGCCGAGGACCGCCACTGTTTGATCGGATGGTGAGTGACACCCTTGGGAGTTGACCTGCTGGGTTGCGGAACTCCATGTATCTTTGGGACCTGCCGGCTGTGGCAGTCTCCCTTCCTAGCCATGGAAGAGCATGTTCTTGTTATTGGCAAAGCTGTCACCATTTAATTGGTATCAGATTCTGACTTGAGCAAGCAACATTCTAAGTTGTTAAGAATTGGCGCGGTGCCAGGAAGTTGGACGTGCTTTACTAAACGGTTGAAATGTATGTTTTTAGGTAACCTGAATTCGTTGCCGTTGGGTGATGGAAGACATGTTAAGGTAAGTTTCGTCTTTTGAGTGTTTTCGGGGTTCTGGGTGTTGAGAAAGCCGTTATTGCGATTAGGCGCGGTTTGCACTTGGGCTGATATTATGTCACTTAGATAATGGCCAATTGTGTAGAAAGTCGCTGAACTGATAGGGCCTCAGGACTGTGAGGGAAGTACACGGATATTCTGTAATGGTTGGTTTTCTTTTCTTGCAGGTATTGTTTAAAGCAAAATAAAAGTGGTTGAGATCTTCCGGGCACCTTACAAGGGATCTTCACGTTTAAATTTTGGAAATGAGTACTTTTAATGTTAGTACGGCAATGTTTTCAATACAGTCCTGACCTTCATTTTATATAAAGTCTTTCATAAGCCAAATAAAGCTTGGTTGATGAGTAATAAGAATGTGTACTGTTTATTTCTGGAGACTATGAGAGTTCTGAAAAAGGGGACATTTGCACAGGAAATTACGGGGATAACCTTCTAGAGTGTAACTTAATTATACAGACAAACAGTGTATAGTTTTCTTTACAGAAAATCTATGTTGCTCCCCAAGCCCTTCTGTAAGCAGGTGCCATGTGAGGATGGGGTTTTAGAAAGACAAGGCATTCAAGCATCACCAGAGTGAAGAGTACAGCATTTGGTGGGGCATGCTTTGTGACAACAGATACCTAATGGTTATTTACAGCCATATCAAAGTGGGTGACAACCTCACCATGTTAATGAGTTTGGGATTTGAGAAGGCTCTGACAATACTCATGTTCAAGAGTATAATAGCATTATCTTGGGAACCATGGAGGAGGGATCCATCCGCATAGGGATTCTAACTTGGAGTCCAGATTCCCACTAGCCATCCCACTTAGCCTGCTTTCCCATTTGAAATGGACCACTGTAAGATCTCCATGGCTTCCCGAGTTGTCAATAAGTTATAAGGTCACGTGGTGTGTGCCCCATTTTAGGATGTATGCATTTTTTTATTGCATGTATAAAATGGGTTGTGACTGGTTAGTCTTGAGAAACCTGTAGGCTTACTGGAAAGTGCCAGTAGATGGCACTCTCCTACCATAGTCCAAGCACTAGTATAATTCAAGTGATAACCTGTCTACTGTATTTTGGGGAAATGAGGATTTGGTAGTAGCTTACAGATGGCTAAAAACATGTCTTTGGGACTTGCTTGTTACTAATGTACTTGTGAGTAAATCGTTAAGTAAATGACTTGATCTACTCCAGCTTTTAAGTTTGTCCCATTATGTCCCCTGATTTCCTCATTTAACAAATGCTAAGGTAATTTGTGGAGAAAAGCTATCAAACTTGATAGGCCTATTTTAGTGTAGGTAAGATCTGGTTTTAAGTAGTTTAGGTCAAATTTATAAACTTAAAAAATTACAATAGGCAAAGATGATAAAACTCAGCATTACACTGAAGTGCCTGCACCCCAAAACTGCTGGAGGGATCTTGGGCTCCAGGTGGTGTCTTCCCTGGCTTGCTGCCAAATAGAGACTGGGTACTTCCCATCAGTTTTCTTTACTCTTCTTGAGCTTTCCATAAATTACAGTTTGGTGATGCTTTTTATCCAAGGTACAAAGGCAGGGACTCTGGTATAAACACCTGGAGTGTCTTTGATTCCACAGCCATACCCCCAGGAAGTCACCCCATATACAACCCAGGTCTCATCGGGCCTTTCACACATAAGTGGTCCTCCGCTGTCTCCCTGGCAGCTGTCCACACGGTTGTTTTCTTGGAGGTTTCCAGCACAGAGCATTCTCCCGGTAAATAGAGCCTTGTAACGCTCTTTACAAAACCTCTTGGGGAGTAAAGGCACAGCCGCTTGTTGTAGAGTTCTTGAGTAAGCACGCCCTGCTCAGACCAAAGAAAACTGGGTTAGAGATTTCAGCTAATGGCCCCATTTAACACTGACCACTTAGTAATCCTAAAACACTGCAGCATTGATGGGATTTCAAAACGGGGGTACTTCTAAGTAACTATGGTGGGAGCTGTTTAACATAGGGGTGTGACAGTATGTATAGAAGGATGGTTAGAAATACAAATGCACATAATTTCCCCTATAAACAGGCGTAAGTCACACCACCTGGTATTCATATAGTCTGCTCCCTGATAGACCATTATTTGTGGAATGGCTTAAATGTACAATTGCTATGTCCTCCATGTTCTCAGTCTACTAACTGGGAGTAACTAGGCCATCCTAGAAAATGTACTGTCCTGGTCATTCGATGTATCTAAAGGAAAGCAAATCATCTCCCATGAAAAAAATCACAGTTAGAAACAACAGCCTTCTCAGAGGGATTGTTAGTGTTGTGAAGAAACAGGAAAGTTTAGCTTGCTCCATAGTGAGGTTTGATGGTACATACAAAGCACATTTCCAACATTTGCCGGACACTTTTTCCAAGAGTGTGATTATCAGTGAATTTTCTTGATAGAAAGCCACCAACCTAAGATTTCTTCCTTCATATTCATTTTTTTTAATTGAGCACCTAATCCTAGCAATACCTTGGTCTATTTTAAGTCCTGTCGTAGAGTATCTGCTACTTGATGTGCACTAGTTTGTCTCCACAGCAATACAACCAGCTGAAGCTGCTCCCTTCACCTAAGAACCCATGTTGAATACTACCACTACTTAGAGGCTGGGAGCAGAAAGGATGAGGGAGACATTTCAATGTTTCTCTTCGACTTTAGTCTCCCTCCACTGAAGAAGCTTTGCTCTTTCCTGGCCAAATTTTAGGAAATCTTAAAAGTCAGCTTAATGGGGGTTCCCTGGCAAAGAGAACAAACACCAAAGCCCTTTACTGAGCCCACTACTTCAATCTTGTGGAGAGCTTTCGAAACTACATAGGATTCTAGATTGAATTCTTGGGCCAGGGACTTTAAATCCCTTTGCTGTCCTCTCACTGGCCTGGGTGACTAAGAGTTGTAGAACACTTTCTATTCTGCTGGCAGGTGAGTTCTATCAGCTTGTGCTGACATTGGAATTTGAACCAACACTCTCAGGATGTAAATCTAGGCTCGTGTACATTTCACAGCTGGCAGACTTCAAGCATCAAACTTGAGTCCATCTAAGCTCCTACGCTGCACATCCTAACATGTAGACACCAGACAGGAAGCTGCCCAGTTTTCCTAGTTTGTTTCTTTGTTTTTTTGTATTACCTGTGTCTCCCCATCCTGTTATGTGACAATTGGAGGCTGTTTTCTGTGGCCTCTCTCTCCAGAGAGGTAAACAGGCTGGCAAAACATGGGTGCTTAGTCTGGCACATTGCTCCCCTGGTCCTTGTAATCTAACCAGGGCGATGTCATAGTCACTGCTGTCCGGCCGGTAGTTCCTATGAATCACAATCTGTTGAACCCCTATTTCTTCTTCAAACTCCTCTGGTACCAAAGTATGGTAATCCCCAACTCGAACTGCATAGCTCCTCGTGTTATTACCATACCTGAAAGGAAAGAGCCAGATGTGAGGCTTTTTTTCAGATAATGAAAATTGATGATTGACAGCTAGGGATGTTAAAATATAACATCTTTTTTTTTTTTTTTTTTTGGTTATTCGAGACAGGGTTTCTCTGTGTAGCTTTGCGCCTTTCCTGGGACTCACTTGGTAGCCCAGGCTGGCCTCGAACTCACAGAGATCCGCCTGGCTCTGCCTCCCGAGTGCTGGGATTAAAGGCGTGCGCCACCACCGCCCGGCAAAATATAACATCTTATTAAAATAAATCTTATTCCAAGTCATGTCCTTCTGCAAACCATCTTTCCACTTCTCGGCTTCCCACCCCCGAAGCCCAGTGCTATCTATCCTCTTACTTTGACTTCACTAAGTCTAGAAGACTATTTCCTAGGAAGTAGCGAATGTGGAGAGGGAGTGGAACATAAGGAAAGACCAAGCATCAGGATGTCAACCCCTTACCAAATGGGAAAGCATCAGGATGTCAATCCCTTACCAAATGGAAAAGGCTTCAAAAGAAACACAGCGCGGGATTTCTGACCTGATTTGCCATGTTCACTTGCTGCATGGAGGCATAAACATGGCTAACCTACCTGTGTCCCTGAGCTAGTGCAACCCACCTTAACCCCAGAAAGAAGCCTCAGTTACTCCCCTTGTGAGTCAAGTGCAACCGAACTATGTCAGTGCATACTCACTGTATTTTGTTACTTCTTTACTTGGATGCCACTTCCATGAAGCCTACTTAGACACCCTAATATTTATATTGCAACCCACCTCTCCTTGCAACCCTCCTATTCTCAGTGTACTTAATCATTGTACGTTCACTTTTCTTTTTTGCACTCTTCATCAGTCTTAAACATTATTTAGTTTACTATTTAAACTGCATTGTGAAGATAACAGATATTCCTAAGATGATACTTCCAGGCCCAGAATATCCTAGCCAATCCGCCTAGTTACTTCCTCCTCATTGAAGATTACAGCTGCTTGTTAACTGGTCCTGACTTCTACTTACAGCAGAACCAGGGCTTCTGGAACTTTTATTTGTACCTGACCCCAGGTATGCAGGAATATAAAAATAAACATTTAGTGGTAGTAAGTCATAAATTTGTTTTAAATAATCCTTTGGTGTGCTTATAACTTTGCCACTTACTAAAGATGTAAGCAAGCTTGCATACTAATGGGGTGGATATGTTCTCATTTTTACATAAAGAATACAATCTTAGCTGATCTTAGAGCATCTTCAACACCTTTCAGAGTTGATTAGCATTTTATTTTGTATTGTTATTTTAAGACAGGATCTCACTCTGTAGCAAGACTAGCAGGGAATTCACTATATTGAGCCCCAGACTTGGAACCATATCCTCCTGCCTCAGCCTACACAGTGCTGATATTCCAGGTGTGCTCCACCACATTCAAGTTCACAATCACAGTTTTTCAAACCTTCCAGTCTTTTCTTTTTGCCTGCCGAACACTAACCCTGGTTTTTAATCAACTATCTGCATATTTCACACTGGCATCTAACTGCTAGGGAGAAAATGTTAACGTTAATTTTTCAATGTTAAAAACCTTTTTTTTTTCCTTAACAAAACATGAAAGTCCCACAGTTTCCAAGACCTCCACTTGAGTTTAAAGCATTTATATTCAGTAGTTTGCTGGTAGAAATCTCCTAGAGGCTGGAATTAACTCCTGGCTGCCTCATTAAAATATAACCCCCCATTTACTCTGTGTTAGGAGAGGACTGTTGGCCCTAAATAAGGCTCTGACCATCTTGTATAATTTTGCAGCCATCAACTGCATAAATCCCTGAGGTTCCTGATCACTCTCCATTTTCAACTTCAATCATTATATATCTTTAAAGTTCAGAGAGTTTTTCACTCTTATGCCAAGTATGCTTTTGCAGATTCATTTCAAAATGTAAAATACATAT